GAACTCTTGGTCCCCAGACTGATAGCTGGAATACCATCATGGGACTGATCCAGACCCCAGGAACATGGGTGTCAGTGAGGAGGCCTCGGAAATCTATGTACTAATCACTGAACTGAACTGGAACCCAGATGCAGAGAAAGACAAGTGAAAAGGGCAGGGGTCCAGAACGGGGGTGGGCCTAGGCCCTATCCCAAAGGATACGATAGACTCTGATGACACCCTATGGAAGGCCTCACCATCCAGGGGAAGCAGAAAGGATATGTGATAGGTAGGGCTTTAGTTGGGGGGTGGTAGGGGAGGAGGGGAGGGACAAGGGAACTGGGATTGTCATGTAAAACATTCTTGTTTCTAATTCAAATAAAAAGTTCCTTTTCCTGCTGCTAAATATACATGTATGAAATGCTTACAACACATTTTTAAATTACCTGTAATAATTTCTTCACCAAACTCAAAATGTTTCTTACTCTTTTCTGTATTTTTTCTTTCTGTTCTTCTATTTTTTATTTTCTGTTGCCTATTTTTAGCTACCTAATCCTGTTTTCTGTTTTATCTGTCCATGAACTATGAATTTTAGATGTACATTTCTATCAATAATTTCCAATTTATTTTTACTTATAGATGCCAAATTTCTGTTCAAATTAACTATATTTTATCTGTTCAATTCTTCTTTATCACTTTCTTGTTGAAGACTAATCAAATGTTTCTTGTATGCATGTGTTTTTTATGTGTATGTGAATATGAATGTATATGGAGGTCAGAGATTGACATTGTGTGCCTTCCTCAGTCATGTACCACATTATTACTTATTTTAATTAGTTGCTGAACATGCAGCTAACCAACTGGCCTATACTGGCTGGCTAGAGAGCTCCAGAGATCTCCTGGTCTCCCACAAAATCCCTCTATTCTGAGATTACAGGTGTGTGTCAACATATACCTCCATGAAAATTTTAAAGTTCTTATCCATAAACTCTGATATTATGTTCTCCTATATGTCTCTGTGTAGTTGTGACTTTGCTTTTAGATCTTGTTTTTAGAAGATTCTTCATTCTTCCCTGCCTGTGCAGTTCACAAGACTTACCACTTTATTTCCATAAAGGATTAAGATGGATTACAGCTTTGGTAAAATTTAATGTGTCTCTGCTCTTCCTTTGTAATTAGTACATAAACTTCTAAGTTTTAAAGCTAATAATGTAATGAGTTCTCTCCTCTTCTTCCCTTCCTTCTTCTTTTCCATTCCCTTCTTCTCCCCATTCTACTTCTCTTTTTAGGATAGAGAAACTACAGTAAAGGCAATGTTGGTTTTTTAAAGTTGTTCATGTTAGGTTTTGACTTCACCCTTTCTACATGGGGATGAATTTAGACCAAGCTAATAATCATGGTAAGAACTAGCAAATATCCCCATGGGTGAAGAAACCCTAGGGACAAGTCAATCTATAAGAGGGTCTTTCCTTTCTTCAGGAGTATCTATCCATTAGATCATGGGCTTGTCCCTTTAAGATGTTCACCACTTCAAGAAATTAGACACTCAACCTGGGACAATCTAGCCATCCATCTCCTTGTCCTGGTTTCTAGTCCCACAGAAGTAATAGACCAATAAGTGTTCTTTCTTATCTCTGCTGCTCTTGTGTAGGGGATGCTGTAACCACGCCTGCTTAGGGGCTGGCTGGCGTGGTCAGGGTTATGTAGGGAAAATTTAAGAGTGAGTCAGCTCTGCTTTCACTTTCATCTTCGTCTTGCTGTACTTACTGCTGCCTGCCGGCTGGCTAGGTTGTTCTGTAAGTAAGGCTTCTCCCTATTAAATTCCCTTGTGTTTTTACCTGGCTCTATATTGGTAATTTCCCACATTACTCTTGTCTCAGGAAACAACCTTGACACTTTCTCAAAGTTGGCTTTGAATTATGGTGAGGCTGCTTAACCACCTCCTGGATGTTCTATTTATCACTGTCTCTTCACCCTGTGGGTCCTTCATACCCTACCATTCTGTCCATGGTGCCTGTCTCTCTTACTCTTTCACTTTAAGCTATATCTTATACTCTTTTCTATATTATTTTAAGTTTAATGAAGTTCCTTTTCAGGTTTTCAAGGGAAGTTTCTCTTTCCTTTTTGGGCCCTGTCATGTTGCCTATGATGTGTGTTTTATTCCTTCCAATTACTCTTCCAACTCAAGTCTTGATCATGCTCTCACATTAGTTAGTTGCCCTCTCCTAATAAAGGCCATTTTGAAGGGTAATTTCAAGTCAGCTCCTTTCACGATCCTGCCGCTCTGACATTACTTGTCTAATACTACTTGTCTCATTTGACAGTAAATTCATTAGGATGACTGTCTCTTAGCTACCCTTGAGTTTTCCCTCTACTGCACAGCTGATTCACCAGGGGATCATGCTGTAGGTCTTTTCACAGCATAGTCACTGCTCATTACCTTTACTACTATCACAGGCAAGCTGAGCCATCATCACCAGAAAGATTTCTATAACCCCCACCACCATATCTCACTTTAAATACTGTAACATAAACTTCATTGGACTCCATAATTATACCTTTTCTCTATCAACAAGTTTTAAAACCCCTTATACATTCTTCTTCCAAAACAAGTCAGACAATACCAATCTTTAATTCAAAATATTCCACTCATTGCCTGTTTACCCACAGAATATAAACCTAGGCCCTTCAGTGTTCAAGATTCTGGAAGCTCTAGTTGAGTTTATAGTGTCATCTGTACCTAGTACTTTCATTCTTATGCCTACTCGGCAGGCACATGTTTATCAAATAAGCCAAACACTTTTCTCACTTCAAATCATTTTCCTGAGATGCTTCTATACCACATGGTTCATTATTTCCACAGATGTCTGCATCATTTCCCCATTTCATCATAAAATATCTAATCTTATATCACTTTATGGAATATTTTAATTTATGCATAATAAGAATGAGGAGAATGAGTTGTGCCTGTCTGTGTAATATATTTGCTTGTCAATGAAATGGAAAACAGACTGGTCAGGACTGCCTTATTAAAAAATGTACATGTAGGTAAAATTAAGGAGATAGATACCTAATAGCCATCACAATGCAGTTACACAGGAGGAATACTATACTGTTCTATAGCAAAGCAAAGAGACTATAATTTGCAAGAGTTACACTTGTACATTTCAAAGTACCTAATGGAATATGCTGAATGCCCTTAGAATTAAAAAAATTATAAATACAGGAAATGGTGGAAATGTTAGTTACCCTAAATTAACCATCATATTACATTATATATCTGTTTGAAATGTGAATGTATATCCTATACATGTTTATAATTACTATGTATTCAAAGTTTTCCATGGTTCTTTTTACTTTATGCCTACTTTTACCTTACTTTTATTCAATGTTTATTTTATATTTCCCTATCATATTCTCAATAATTAAAGCTCCATAAGGCTAGGGATTTTGTTTTATTAATGAATGCATTCCAAGCTCATAGAATAGAGGCTGTTACACAAGAGATAATCTTTAAATAATTGACAAACTAATAATTGATAAAATGGTGTCATATAATTAGTTGAGGCTTTTCAAATGCAGTTTCTATTTCAATATCATTCAAATGTGATCAACACAGATCTTCATATATTTCTCTGATAACTTACTCAGATATTCTTATGTTCAAAATGGCTCTCAAGTATATTCAATTTTTACATCTACAATTCATTTGAAAACGTAATCTACTGTCTTCTCTGTAAGAGTTACAGCAAATGGGAAAGTGGTACTCTAAAACATGAGGAAATCTTCACAGCTGTCCCTCCTATTTACCATTTGCTGTTGGGAACTTGATAGTAGTAAGAGAAGATGCAGAGAGAATAGACATTTTTTAAAATGATGCATTCTTTTGTCCTTAGGAAGTCAAAATTCTTTTTTAGCCCTAGCTCAATCTTCTGGTAAAGGACAGATGTTGATTTTTTCCATCTAATGACAGAAATTACTCTGGAATACTGGAATGCAGTTGGTTTCTTAAGGAAAAAACTGTTACAAGCAAAGTCTACTACTTTATCAGTTAGTACTACTTGATCTCATTCTCCTGACGCATTCCATACCAGCAAAGATTAAAGTCAGTATTAGGAACTTCCCAGGAACAAAGTAGAATATATTACATTTCTTCTGGAAGCAAATCAGATAAACAACATCCAGAAAATACATACAGCTTCCAAACTTCAGTGGGCAGGCATGCACATCCATGGGGAAATCTTCCAAATGCATAGGACATTCAGCATGTATTGTTAACCTAAAGAAGAGAGAACAAAAAATGAAATACAGCAAACACAAATGTAATTAAATATAAAGCTCAGTTCCCACTCAACAGCAGTGGAGTGCTCCTAAGAATACCATGGGGTTTTTGCTTGTTAATTTTCATTGACAGTGAAGTCTGTACGCTAACAAATAGTAGATTAAGTGATCTAGGGGGTTACTCAAAGCAGCAGTCAATATTGCTTGTTTTTAGGTACAACTGATGTGTATCCCACATTACCACCTTTAGAAAAAATATGTATTTGGCCAAATGGTACTTCCTTAGCTACCCTTCAAGAAGCATAGAAAAGCAGGTCCTGACTCATTCAGTCCTGATCACTGCTTCATTATTTCAGAAAGAATTCTTCCCGTGAGGGTGTTATATGAGTTAACCAATTTAAAGAGTACATCATAGGAGACAGAAGTGTAGAAAGAATACATTTGTCAAACTGACAGAGAAAAAATCAACCCACTGCTATATGAA